AAACTGAATATCCGTCTTCTCTTTGAACGCGTCTTCCTGAACTTTTCAGGATGTCCATTGACTATTACTCAACTCCAAGCAAACACTACAAAGCGACTCCACAAATCCCTCAATAGATCTCATTTTTCAAGAGATGCAAGGCGGATTTACGAGAAAACATACTACTCGCACGCCTCTCCCATCAGTAGTATCACCGTTAAATCGGTATATGCGAACCAGAAAAATCGATATGCAAGATTTCGAATATCAGAACGTATTGGGACAGATGATACGGCTATTGTTACGTGCATTTTCATAGACATTTGAAGACCTATGAAAGCAAATTCCGATACAAATAATAAGCAAATGGAACACTGGAATTCCACTAACTCAGCTCAACAAAAAGCCCAGCCTGGTTTTCCAAACAGTCAAGCTCACTCTATGCTGACGAATTCGGAAGACGAGGAACTACGTCTGTGTATGTCTTCCTCCCACGTAGTAACCATCTGGTTCCTAAATCCGTGTGGGCAACTACGTCGATCGACTAAAATGTATGTTGTACCTGCTTTGGTAGACCAAAAAACACAATCTGAAACTAAGAATTGTCTCACGTGACAAGACTGTGGCCTCCTTGGTCACTTGCGGAACGTACCAAAAAACAGCTCACATCTTTTCACGATCTTCCAACGCTACTGTGGGTGCATACCAATGACAAACAGCCTGCCTGTATTTTGTCGCATCGTACTGTTCGTTACGTCTGTGAGACCAACTTCCTTACAAATTTCTTCAGTTTTTGAACCGCCATTCTGAGGCACTTTGATGACAACTAAGATCCCGGAGGATAGTCTAAGCCGTTGAATGACTTGGCGATCCACGTAGATGATACTCATGCATGTGTGCGTATAGTGGGAAGCCAAAGATCGTTGGCACAGAGCCGGGCGCGGGTCATCTACTTGGATGTAAGCCCGAAGAACGCGCACAGTCTTGTCGCAAACCATTAAACGGGCTCAACAGGGTGGCATAACAATGGGTGCCACCATCAGTTATATGTTTACCATCGAAGTGTGGGCGTCATCCGTCTGACCCCTTGAGTTCCAGTGCAATACCGCACCTCCATCAGTACATCAGGGTCACCGGAAGCGGTTCATTAGGAAATCGCCAAAGTCGAACTGGTCATTAACTCTGAGGTTAATGATGTCCTCCCTAGAATGATAATGTCCGTCAAGCATTTATTAGAAAATGGTGCAAACTTGCTTGGGTTCCAGAAGGCTATGATGTGTGTGTGGGCGACTCAGACGGTCCGTCCTGCTAATGCATCTGCTTCTGTATATTGTCCAAATACACATAGACGAAGCTGCGCTAGGAAGATTCCGAATTGCTCGCATGTTTTCCAGGATTGCAACGCCTGGTACCTTGAAGCTTCTCACGATTCATTGGATAGGTGTTGTTCACTTCGTCGTGTCGACTGCCAAGCTGATAGCCAAAAATGGAAGTTAGGGTATTCAGCATCGCCTGTCCCAGTAGCCGAATTCCGGACGTCCACGGCTTCTTCGGACTCGAGTGTTTGTCTTTCGTTACGAGGGCTGAGGCAGCATCAGACTGGATCCACTTCCAACAACACCTGATCACTGAAACGACTTCGGCGTTGGGGACCCTATCATTCCGTTTGATCCAGACAATGACGAACATGTCGTCCATATATCGTCCCAGTCCCGCTGCTGCACACTAGTGAAGATAGTACGTGGCAATCTTGGTATCAGTGCGCATTGGCGACTGTCCCGAACTTGTCCTCAATGCGGCCGAAAGACCTAATATACTGGCCATTGAAGTTCGCGTGTTTATTGCACTATCAGCTGTCAGGTCCGTGCAGCATACCACCCCACAATCATTTAGCAGATGAATTAATGTTTTATGTTGAATCCCGGATACAGGCTCATAGAGGATAAGCATTTGGGGAATATTTACGCTTAAGCTAAAGCTATACGCCACTGAACCAAATGCCGTAGTCAGTCGTTGCAAACTGCAATATACACGAACAGGTACGGACGAGTACGGCAGTGTTGTGGCCAGAAAACTCTACCAATTGAACGGTTAACCATTCAACCGGTTTTTGATCTTGTACACCACCAAAGCAATGACTGTCAAGTAGAGACTGAAAAGGGATGGGGAAAGAACACAGCCCTACTTCCCTTCGGCATTGATCAATAAATCGTTTGGGTTGGTGCAGATTTTCTATGCCCGGATTGTCATCTCTACGTGAAAGACTTTGATGAGTCTGGACGATCTGTAATGACTGTGTTGAAGACATTGGTGAACTCCACAAACAATCAATAGAACAGTCAATTCCGTTCACAGTATTTCTCACGGATTTGATTTGCGACCGCTTCGAAATACACACTGCTCTTCAGGGACGTTTTCTCCATAATGTCATCAGGATCTGAGCCACAATTTTACCTGATCTCACTATAATTGTTCGTCTTAATGCGATTTCCTTTCCTTTTTCTTCACAGAGGAATCATTACCGTATCCATGGGACCGTGCGAGACGTCTTCTAGCTCCTAAATTCTACTTCGGAGGTTCTTTCTGCAAAGTCGGTCCTCTCGGCATGAAAAGCTCCGTGTACAAGTCGCCATCGTTCATGCTCTGTTCTCCACAAAATCCTTCTGAGTTGTTTTCGAATCGATGGCTTTTCAGAAACGACAACTTCTTCTGAATCACTGTGGATATCTTATGAATCCAAATCGCCTTCGTTCATGCTTTGGTCCACATCAGCTGCTTGCATATGTGTTATTATTCGGGCCCACTGCCTTTCAAGTGTGTTTGAATCATTCGGCAGCACTCCGCAAAATTTCACTACCGTCTCCCCCTTGAACGAATTTCCCCTGGTTCGAACCGTGAAAGTTTTCCGACTGCGACGCCTACCCTAGCACGCACCAACGAGTGAACCGTATTACATTCAGCAGTCAGTAGTTTGTGTGGATCTCTTTGCGGCGCAATGATGAAACTGAGTCCACGTAGCAAACAATATCCGCTGCACATTGAACCACGTGTTTGCCTTTCAGAGTTCAAATGCTGCACACATAGTTGCCTTCTACTTTTGTCGTTCATTGGCCCGATTCCAAATGGATCCAATATCTTCTTCCACCCTTGACAGTCCTTCTCGAACCGGGGGATTGAAATGATGGAACAGATCGAGGAATTCGTTTGGGGCGGACAAATCTGACAGGTGATCTGGCGTTGTGGGAATGTGGGAACTTCTTTCCTTGACACTCGCAGTGGGGTGACCATGATTCCACTTTTGATGAGTTTCTTCTTATTCGAATACTCGCTGCATTCACGTTATTTTTTCCGAAATAGTATATATATATATATATGTATATATTGGAGACCAGCTTCTGAGTCGCTGAGCAAAATATTTTCAAAAACAATTTAGCTGTCCCAATGTTCCTTGTGCCTATATCTTTCGTTCAGTCCGCTCATTTTAAGCCGTGATCTGAGTTTAAAAGTACCTTTCTACCTTGAAGCGCCATCGAACTGCCGGACCAGATGAGCTTCCCCCAGCATTGTTCAAAGATGAGGGAACAAAAAAGTTCCAGAGCATTGGGGCCAGGTGTTCGTGGTACCTGTGTTCAGATTAGGTATCTGAACCAACTGTTCCGACCATAGGGGTATAAGTCCCACACCAGTCATCCATCTTCGGCATGTGAACACAAATCCGAGCGCAGCAAGCAGGATTTCGAAGTGACAGAAATAGCCACTGTTATATCCTCACCTTACGTCAAATGCTGGAGCAGTGCCACTTAGATTACCGACCAAAAATCACGCTTTTCTTCGACTTTGCAACAGTACAGTGAGCTGTCCAGAGGCGTCCTGACAACCAGTGAAGTTTGTTCGGATTGCACCTTCTCTCCCTTTTTCTGTTCACCCTTGTCATCGACGTTAGTTAGTGTGAAAGGCACACTCCAAGAGACAAGAATCCTGTTATAAAAATCACGTCTGATGGAGGTTTATGAGTTTGGATTACGAGGTCTATATCATCTTGTTGTTTACCACTTACCTTTGCGCAAAGTACTTTAAAAAAGGTATCGGAGATGATATTTTCACCTACAGAGCACAAATTTTCTACTTCTCGATCATCTTTTGCTTCCCTGAAACTTCGGAATGAAGAGCTTGAGTGTGCTGAGGCCGCACAAGCCGCGACTGGACTGCAGCAAATGAAGTTATTGCGCAGAGTAATGGTGCGATCAGCGTTAGTGAACTTGGGTGTCAGAAACAAATTTCGCTACAGCAAAGCTAAAACGAAGTAACTTTGAGAAAGGTATTACCCTATGGTTGTCAGACTCCCCCCCCCCCCCCGATCAGAGGACCTTCGATGTCTTCAAACGTTTGATCTCCTTAACACCGCAAGAATTAGATGGTTGCAGCGAGTAGGTAACAAGATAGTGCTTAAGCAAAAGCTTGCCAAGGAATCCGAGTTGTAAGAGCAGCGGATTAAACTCACTAGGATGAATTGGCTCGGCATGTATTACATATGCCCAACCACCATCTAATCAGAAAAGCGTTATTTGCTGTTCCAAGCGAAAGGCTCACGGGGTCAGGCAGTGACACTACAACGTGAAATGAAGGTGAATACAGTCAAACTGAGTGCTGTGGGAATTTCGAGCCTCATAGGCTGAGCCAACGTGATCCCGGTTGCAAATGCTTCCAAACCCTTCAATATGTGGCACACAACCGATCCAAGTGGGGCACATATTGTGATTTCATAATTGGGCTGCTTAGCTAGATTCCACCTGTCGGAATGCTTGGGGTTTACGTCTAGCAAGGTTTGCAAAGGACGCTGGTTGAATCCCAATTGATGGCGCCTTAATTCGACATGATGCTCATATATGTTTACTTTAAGGCTATCCAAGGTTGTGGATATCTTACGCTTGTTCGTCTTCCTTAAGGACGCGGGGGTTCCTCGCATCAAGTCCCCACCCTTGTCTTCAATAAAAGTTTCTTCCCTCAAGGTCGTTTTGTATTCAAGTGCCAGTGTGCATTACTGGTATAATTGTGTTGTTGACAGTGATGTCACCTGCAACTGCCAATCTGAGGCCTTGTTCACGGTCATTTTGCGCTGGTCCACTGCTGTATAAGATACAATCGGATGCAGACCCCCGTAGTCTTTTGTGATCAGCCAGCAGAGTTTCACCGAGTGGTGATCGTACCGCTGTTAACAATGTTATCGTTAACATCGTGTCCGAATGTGCTGGCGGCCCAGCTGTAGTACCCTTTCGGTGCCTAGCTGCCAGGCCGCACGAAGAAGGCACGAGGGCTGGGATACTGCCAGGTCGCCCAAGCCTAGACAGGGGGAGTCGAGAGGCGGAGGTTGGGTTCGAACCACGGAACTTCCAATCAGTAACTGCGCGCCCTAACCGCTTGGTTCATGTTGCCCCCTGGCGGCCCAGCTCCTCAGTTGTATTATTTGTAGGTTTGTTGGAATCTCCCTTGGATTCGAACCATCTCAACGAGTTTGTATCAACGTCGTCAAATATGGCTGCTCGTATGCGTCTTTTGTCTGACTTACTGACTGGTATTCATACTCTGCAGCAACTTGATTCCCCTGCTCCACATTAGTGACCACTATGAAAGGTAACTGACTGCTTTTTGGTTTCACACGAGTTTATCATTTTCAGGTGGTAAGTGGTTGCTATCGACATCCAAGATGCCGCTGCTAGTCATCCTATGAAAGTCTACGTTGACTTGCCGGTCCGCTTGGCTTGGCTTGGCTTTGTAACATCCGCTGTTCTACTCCGTCACGCAAAACAAATCTACGGCAGTCTTCATCTCACTTATGCCATCGCTTCCTTCCTGAGGGTAGAGTTCGCTCCTACGTGCAGGCTTCATTCACTCACTCTGCGAATCCTCCCTTGGTTATTCATCACCTGATTATCACTCAGAATGCTCTGCCTAAGGGATTTTTCGTCGATAAAGCATATGGATCTTTTCCAGATAAGCTCCGCCACTAATGCAAAAAGTGCATGTATGAAAATTTAAGCCTCGCCACTTTTTACCAGCTCCAATTTAATGTGCGCACACAACCATGACCTATTTTTGATGAAAGCAATCCCTTATCCGCATCTAGGCTAATTTTGTGCGAAAAATTTCTGCGTTCGGACGTAAAACCCTAAATGATGAAAACTTTCTGACGCTTTCAACTCTCATTCATGACAAGGAGACGGTAATACGTTTTCTGCAAAGCCACGGAGTGATCCATCAGCAACGTTTATGGCCAGCAAATGACACTGTCAACTGTTTCTGATAGGGGGAGGTGTAATGGCCGACAGTGTCGGCAAGAAATCGGTCTTCGAAAGAGAACTTGGCTGCAGTGGTCTAGAATGGAGTTTAGGACAGTAATTCTATTCATTTATTGCTGGTTCAAAAATTTGACAAAAATCAAATTCTGATCAGAGGAATTATCTATTGGCCACACAATCACTGTTGATTGGAAGAACTTTCTTCGCGAAGTTTGCGCCTGGTGGCTTTTGCAGACCCAAGCAGTCTACAAGATACAGAATAAACGCCAATGCGGTACACACCAATCTTTAGGGAACAGCTGCTTGTGTGAGTTCGTTTGGAGGCAAAAGTACCGAAAAACGGACCTATTCATTCGAATTATTAATGACATGTCCCAGTTTAATCCTCTTCGATAAAAACCAAAAGTGCAAATTTCATATCCTCTTTTTTCTAATCTTATTTTGGGTGGCGGGGGTTAGTTTTTTGGCGGGGCTTATCTGGAAAAGATCCAAACATAGCACAGGTGAAAAAATCAAGTGGTAGTATTTATCGGTTTGGTTCAGGTTGAGTTTACGTTTCGCTTAGCCATTAGCACACCAAATTCTATCGCCCCGCGCATTGAATCGATTGGGAAAATGAGAAAGAACAGGCTAGTTTTGGTAGTCAGGAGCTCACTACTAAATCAGACAGTCAAAAGTGAGACCGATTAGTTTACAATCAACGCTCCGAATCGAATTCCGGACCCTAACGGTGACCCCCCAGAAAATTCTTCATTTTTTCTCAACCACCAATCATACGTCGTCTACTGATAACTTATCTATCTAATCGTCTGCTACGATCGATCTTATTTTGTTCTACTCGTTTTTTGTTTAGATAGCATGCGATCTGTTTTAGGAATTTGACACGGGGAAGGTTATATTTCTAAGGCTACCGAGAACCTAAATCTTGTAGATGATGTCATGTCATTTATGGCTAGTTTTAGAAACTTGTCATTCCCCGCTACTGTGTTTCCTTATAAGAAAGAATCGATTTTATGAACAACGTGATTGGCGGCCCCGCTGACTAGGACTTTTCAAGGTATTTATGGAAACGGTGAACAGTATGCTTAGGAAATTCGAAACTGAGCAGTTAGCTAAAATACTCTTCAGAACCCCTCTGTTTCTGGAATCTTGTAAAAGCAATTCGCCAGACCCTGCGTTCTCCCACCGTCTCCTTGTTTCACACAACCACGGAATACTGACTCTCCCCCTCATTTAGGGGATGGAAGCTGTTTTTGCCCTTCTATGAATAACCCTGACTTTTGCGGATATACACTCATTTGCAAACTGATTTGGTTCTTTCGAGAGACTCACCTGGAACCCAGCTGAATCTCTGGTTCATGATGTTCTCAGGCAACTGAATGTGCTGCACTAGGCCGCCTCATGTTTCAGTCGCCACGATATTTGAAATATCGCGATATATGTATATCTTTGTAACGTACTACTCATAAGGTTGCTGAGTGGGCTGTCGACGGATTTTCAGCAGCCTTATGAGTAGTACATTACAAAGATAAACCCTGAGTTTTCTTCTCCAGGTCCACGGCCAAACTCTAAGATTACGTGGCGCTATTCGCCACTACCTCTAAGTACCCGTGTATGAATGATGCCGCAGCTATTTTGCCTCGCTTCAGAGCTCGCTCCCATTGTGTCTAGTTTGGGCAGTGCCCATGTAGGCCTTGCTCATAATTGTGACCGTTTATCCGATTGCAACGAACATTAGCCCGTCTCTAAAGCCGTAGTTCATCTGAAGTGCTCAAGTTGCCCTTAGCGTATCGGAGATGCAAACACACAAAAGACTTAATGTCAGACCCTTGGTCGATGCACTCCTGTCTGATGAATTCGTGATCATGAGAATTAACCAATTCAGAATGGGAACTGCTACATACTGTTATGTATGATGGACAAAGGATGTTTCTGACCATGACTACAACAATGGAGACACATGTTGTACGCCATAGTAACGTACGTAAGAACGAATGAAGAATACACCTGTCAGTTTCGATGACATTGTGTGCAACGGAAGTGGCCTTTTCTCACAGTTTTGTGCGTCCTTGGAGATCGAGTCCTATCATAAATTCATCGACATCGGTACAATCAAATGGGTAGCAAATTATATGACTAATACATTTCTTATCATTGCCCCGAAAAGTGTATATATACTCTTGCCAGTCAGTCAAGCAACACAACAGGTGGTATCCTGGATACATCTATTTGTTTGTCGTTCCGTACTGACTGGGAAAACTGTTTTGGAAAAGCGGTGTAGATGCTCAGTTTACACATTGTCATCGATATCACATACAATGATGATACTTGTGTAAACACGTTGTGCAAGACGCTAGTCAGGGGAGTCACTGGTGGCATTCTGACAGCAACTTTGTCCCGCCTCCATCGAAGTGCTCCTCAAGCCAAGCCGTGACCCTAAATGCGCGATAGCATATGCAACGGAATATGCCAAGACTTCACATTGGCCGCTCAACAGCATAGGAGGGTACGGTGAGCGTTCCGTTGATGAGTTTAACTAACTTGACCATTTCACTGAAGGCCTACTATGACATTGCCACATCAGATAATTTGTTTTCGCATTACGGTTAACCAGGGCATACCGACTCCACCAATCGATCGGTTTAAATAAAGCCACGGTGCACTTTCCCGTCATGCCATTTGGTGGTGTATTTCTGGTCAAATGGTGGCGTGATGGTGTGATGCCGAAAGCAGACATGTAAATTACCGAAAGTATACCCACACTGGTCTCATTGGAACAATTCCCCTTCTCGCATGGCGTGGATATCTTGTTTAGTGTGCAATGAAATGGATAAGCCATGGATTTGATGTCCGCTCTTATGAGAGTCCATATCACTATCTGTGTCGGAAACCCAACCGAGCATGTGAGACGGGTGGGTGACCACTAGTCCATTAACGCATGTCGAATAGGCTGAAGTAATGCAGTTGGTTCGCCCAACGCCTCAAATGACGACTCGGTCGATTAACTGACGGTCAGCTAACGCCTCGAACACCCGATGAGCAGTTCGTATGTATGGAGCTGAGTGATAGTACAACAAGGTTGTTTGAAAATTTATTTCTACTGTCTGAAGTAAATTCCACCCAAGCCATCGACTGTGCAAGGGAATGCATCCAAAACGGACCATAACTCGCTTCATAAATGACGGGCGAGAAAGTGATAAACGAGAATAGTCGTGGGAACAGTCACCACTAAGTCTATGCTTTTGGGTTGAATAGCCTAATTTCCTCAGGGTTTAATAACTCCCAAAAGAAGGAAGAAGAAATAGCTTCACTAACCCCAACGACGTCTTACACG